TGGCAGCAATACGCAAGCAATGTGGAAAAGATTGTGAATTTGGTCAGAGACGATGGAGCAAAAAAAACGCAACTTTCTCGTCGACTGCTTTCGTTGTCGTTTGGAGAGGTACCGTCCCCCGCTCGACGAGCGCTCAACGCACTCAAGCGGCCTACATTCGGTGAAGGCTCTTTTGAACGGTTCAAGGGTGCGCTCACGTCTGCTACGTCCGAGCCATCAGGATCATCAATAGGACATGACCAAGGTTCCGACTTGCCTTCGCCTTCATCGCCTGGTCACCATCATCACCAATACTCCACCAGTGGTGGACGAAGTGATGAGCGGCCACGGACGTATAGCAAGGTTGGTGGGAGCAGATTACGATCATCGACGATTGGAGAGCGAATCGGTAGTGATACGGACACTAAGAAACTAGGCAGTAGCAGCAAACGGCCTGCCACTTAGTTGATCTTTTTTTCTTTTTCTTATTTCTCTCACATTAATCCAATCCAATCATTTGCACCTCCTTCCATTATTTTTCCTTTATATCGGGATTTCTTTTCTAGCATTTTTTTTTTTACCAAAACGCTCAAATGAGGGTCATTCGACGCAGATAATCACGCACCATACTCCAAGACTCATGATCGTCACCCGAACCTTGTACGTAGGTATAATAGTTCGTCCTGCGTTGCAGTCCATCCGCTACCTGTCTTGAAGCGGAGATGCATATCATCGGGAAGAACCCGATACTTTGGTCGAAGGATGGGATGGCCGACTGAGGTGTAATCCAGAATGGCTTGAGTGGTTTATCGATGCTGGGAAGGACAAACGAAGATTCCTAAAACAGTTCAGGAGATGAATCTGGGCTGTATAGAGACGATTTACCGAAAGCGTTTTAGCAAGCTTCGGGATCAATTTCTCCATTTGGTCCTTCTCGCTATCACTGACTGTCTTGGGCGGAATGAACAGTCTCCCATTCTTCTCCCATTCTTGATCTGATAGACCGCCTTGGGAACTGAGACAGGCATTGATTACCGCACACCACAACGGGACCGTTTTTGAGAGTGCGTCGGGCATGGATTTGCCGCTACGAGTGGAGTCGACAAGAATCATCCTGTATAAAGTATTGAGCCAAGAAGAAGTTCCAACAGTCAGAAAACCTACCCTCCATGCTCACAGATTAGCGGTAGAAGGTGTAGGTTTGCGCGGCGAAGGTTAAAGGACCACTGGCCAAAATGGCCGTCAGTGGATTTGAAATAGACATGCTCAGGTCTGTCTTCCAATAAGCGCTGTACTACAGAATAGCTCAAAATTTTACCTAGAACGAGAAGGATCCGTGTACCAAGCTCCACATCGTTGATTCGCTGAAAAAGAAGTGTTACTTCAGCATATGAACGAAGACCAAACAGGGATACTGAGCATACCGAACATAGGGTACTTAGGAAATTGATCAGCTATCATCGTCACAAATTGTGAGTCTTCATGAATAGATTGTATTCGATTGTAAATATCAGTTGCTTCTCCTCTAATAGACTTCAAGACAGAGGGAGTATCCGATAGGAGTTCCATGGTCGGTAGAAAGATGAGGGGAATAAGGTTACCGGATTTTGTAATTATAGACACTCTCCGTCCGAGTCAGCACGATGCACCGCATCACCAAACCACCGGGTAGGTCCAGGAATTTACACTGTTCCGCCGAACATTAATCCTCTCCAGTCTCGTATTGACGTTCGGGCGAATATAGGGGCTTGCCTCTGCTCGGGTTTCGACTAACTGGGCCAGCACTCTATCGAGTTCGGGAGCCAAGTCACAGTCCTCGAAATGAATGCTGGAGAGATGGGGCATGAGCCAACGAGACATGGTAGTTGGGCCGCCGTCCGTAGGTTTGGTGAGAAGTTCGAGAGTGTCTATAGCTATCTCTGTATCTTTAAATTCGAGTCTCGAGATTGCGGCTCGTATCTGGAAGATTTGAGGGTGCACTAGTTCCCCCCGAAGGTTGAAGTGGATCGTTTCTACCGCTGGAGCCACGTCGGCTATGAATCTTGAAATCGCTTCGGCTTCTCGTCCCGCCAGAGGGGCAACTTGACATGAAATAAGCCGCAAAATCCGTAGGGCAGGCAATGTCATTACTTGTGCCAGATCCTCATTACAAGCGGACATCCACCGTGGACAAAGAGACAGACTTTTTAATCGAGGATAATCCACAATGGCGCCTTGAGGTATGTTTGGATGTGTAGTCTTGGCTAACGTGAGGAATTCGACTTCTTCAAGTTCCCGTGCATTTGCAAGAAGATGGCGGAAAGAATGTACATCTGTCTGGAGGGTGACGAGCTCGATTTTGAGAACTCGAAGGCTTTTCAGTCCACCTGGTGAGTTCCACCAGAGATTCCGAAGGGTCAGGTTGTGGAGGCGCTTGAGACGGTGGAGCTGCAAACCACTTTAGTAAATGAAATTCGGATCCACTGGTGCTTACCTGGAATGTACGGTCTGGAACTATGATACTACCGCTCTCGGGTGGTTCGATAAACTCGATCCACACTTCAGACAGATTGGATAGTTTCACTCTCGCGTCGCTGACAATGGACGAGAACACCTGAACGGCTGACGCGGAACGTTGGAAATGAATTTCCAGTCGGCCAATCCTATCTATTTTAACCTTTATTAGTTTTCCCTCTTTGAAAGAGTGTGTATCCTACCTTTCAAGTAGAACAATGCGAGTCGTAGCCCGTCCAACGTTGTAGAAGGGGGTTGCAAGTCTTTAGTCCACCCATCCCTTCCAGCGACCCAAAGTGTCAGCGATACCACTTTGGGAGAGGAGCGACTCGCCCATTCGTAGACGTGGGCTTTAATGTCGGCCAAGGGCCGGTTCGATATCGTGATATACCTCCACTATAATGGCTATTAATGACACGAACACATAATTTGAAAAGTCTTACCAGAGCAGGAGTCGAAAGTGCGGTCTTTCTCCAAAAGTGAGACACAGACGCAGCAATGAGAGTCGCCGGAACATGAAGTTCAGTAGGCAACTGACTGTCCAGCCGCGATACTCTCACTTGCTCCTCTTCATCAACCCATCTCGTGAATATATCCGCCCACAGCTCAGCCGGAACCCGTCGAATAGGATGCAACGTCGCGCGCTTCTCTGCCACATTTTGCAAGAGCTGGTTGTGTTGGGCATCTAGGCCTTGCAACATCGTATCGGCGGTCCTATAGATGAGAGACGCCGCATCCAAGGCAGCTTGAGCCTGCGCCAATGCGTGGCTCGCGCGTTCATGCTCAATCTTGACTTTGGCAATTTCATCCGCCAGAACGTGCAGCAGCCGTTCTTCACGACTAAGTGTGACCCGCAACGCTTCCACTTCTTCCTTGTAAGGCGCCTTGTTTAATTCGCGTGCATCTGGATGTTGCATGGTTTAACGTCGGGAGACAAGTGGCGGATGTGTTGTTGTGCCACTTTTCGTCGTCAATTTTGGCTCACCGGCGGCTTGTCCAGAATCATCGTGAAATGAAGCGAATATTACTTCTTCATGGGTTCGCTTTATCTTCTTATATTTATGAGGTCTAACGCCCCCTCAGCTATGGCCAAAACGCTACAATCTTTTACAAAAAGGTGGATCTCCCTTTGATCGTCGTCCTATACTCGTTCTCACAAATTTGGTCGAACAAGTCTAGATGGCAGCAATACGCAAGCAATGTGGAAAAGATTGTGAATTTGGTCAGAGACGATGGAGCAAAAAAAACGCAACTTTC